TTTTACAGTAAGTGCTTAAGCAGCCGGCTGCAGTCCTTTATTTCTGCTGTTTGTGTCCCTTACGGATGTCTTGACATGTTCTGGTGCAGGTTGTCGGTTCAGATCCGTTTTCCCTCTGTTTTATCTGCCCTTCACCCTCTCAGACTGTTGCATGTCATGTCCCTGTGGTCCATGGCGACTCTCCATTCATGCATGTGATCACCAACCGCTCTGAAGGTCTGTTACGTCACTCTACGTTCCTCATGGGCTTAAGTTACACTTTCTCCCCCTGCCCCCTTCATCATTCTACTCTTTTTTTTTTTTTTTTTTTGCCCCAGCCCCACACCCCCATGCCTCCTCACTGACCCAAGCTTTCCCCTCCTCTCCTGCTGTTTCTCCTGTGTTCTAGCTGACAGACTAAAGAGCAGAGGGAGGAGATGCCTCATTATTTGAAAAGACGCAGGGTTCCTACCCCTTCCCCCCTTTATCTTGCCTCCTTAACCCCCCCACCCTTTTTTTTTTTTTTTTTGCACCTGTCAGTCAACAACTAGACTCCATTTTACGTTTTGACCGAGCTGTCTGTTACCTCCCCCCATGGCTCGCTACATAGCTTTGTGTCAACGTGCCCTCCAACTGGAGACCTGACATACGCCGACCCGCCCTGCACAAAGCAGCAATCCTTGAAAGGTTATGTTTGTGTCTGCTAGGTGCGTCTTGAGGGGGGCTTCTCTTGCGCCCTGGCCCCTCTTGGCTGTTGCGTAACCCCTTGTTTTGTCGGAGTTTCACAATGGGTATCCAGTTAATGCCGGCTAGAGGATAGTGAGTGGGAGGCCTGCAGCTTGTTTGATGTGTCCAACAGATAAGACAGGAGGGGTGGAAGGTGGTGTAAGGTTGCTGTTATCACCGGTAATAATGGCGATTGCCACGCAGTGGAAGTGTGTTTCTGTGTTTTGGTTTCTGATAGAGTTTGTATCCCATGAAGGAGGGCGTGGTCCGTGCAAGTCCGTTAGTGTGAGCCACGCTTGCTTTGCCAAATATTATCTCAATGAGACGCTTATCAGCAGAAATGAGTAAACAGGCTTTTGCCCTATTGGCTGCGTGGGAAGTTGATCAGAGTTGATCAGGTTTGAATAAAATCATTGAATCTAACCCGGTTGTGCACCTTCTCACCTTTTCAAATTGATAGTTACTGAAAGGAATTACTGTGAAGCTTAGGATGGTTTGCATGTTTTGATTAAAAAAAAATATATATGCAGTATATATATCATTATATTATTATAATAATATTATATAATAATATTATTCTACATATGTTTATATTATTTTATCGTCATTTATATATATATATATATAAATATATAAAAAAAATAGAACTGTAAATTTATAATAATTTTTAGCATGGCTGCACTTTTAAAAGATGAATTTGTCAAGTGACCTGTTTCCAAACATAATATCTTTTTGTTTTACACTTGTGTAAACAAAATGACAAATAAAATCTGTCTAAAGTCTAAAAAAAGTATGTTTTCATCACTAGGAATAATCTTTATCATCCACAAAATGACTTGTTTATGAAGCACAGTAGGCATGTTTACTTCTCTATTAATCATCATTTCATTTCCTAGCCATTCTATACTGCTGTACAATGTAAATTGTGATGTTTTATTTCATCTCTCTCTGGAGTTGAGTTAAGCTTGAGCAAATATCCCTTTATTTTAGAATGAAAGTATCTTCATTGCTTAGTCATAAGCTTAGGAGAAAAGAATGAGAAGCTGCAGGGCAGCCTATATAGATTATAATAACAGATCATATTCCAGGTTTGATCAAATGGAACATGTGTTTAGCCATGGTATTAAAGATAGAGGTGCATTTATATACTAGGGCTGAACCCCATAATATCATCAGCGTAGTTTATTGATCACAGGCAAAAAAAAAACAGCAGAACTGTTTTTAGGGCTTATCTCTAATTTTGACGCCTGTAGCGACTTCTAGACAGTGAGTCCAGCGCTTTTCCTCTGTACATTTCTCTGCTAAACGTAGATTAAACCATGATCAATTTTTAATCCCATTATGAAAGTTATTTATTATCAAAAGCAGCCTCGTCAACCTTAACATTTATTTCATCCTGATGCACAAATTAGATCTTTTTTCCAGATACAAATTGACTTGCTTTCTTTATGCACAGTCATAAAACCGTCTTCATTTTCCTTTTATGATTTTCAAGCACTTAAGTATGGAAAAATTTGAATCGAGAATAGGGCTGCAACTAACGATGGAGGATGCTTAAGATTTTTTAGAGTTAAACCAGGTGAAACTAAAAGTTTTCCACTTGAGGAGTTCTGGATAAAGCACATTGACAGATGGAAAAGTCTTAAACTCAAAAATATTCATATATATAATATAATATATTTACAGTTTTGCTATAGTTATGGCTCTGGGTGGATCACTCTTTTAGATAAAGGCATGGATCACAGTCTCTATACTCCAGTTGATGATTCATCAATTATTTAGTTGAGGATCATTTCAATAATCGATTGATCACAATTTATCTGATTGATTGTTTCACCCCTAGTTGAGAGTTCTTTAAGTTTCCAGATTTTATTTCATTTTTGAAATTTCAGAAAATCCAAAATTTCTAAAACATCCTGTAAACTTTAAAAATTTATGTATAACGTCGTGTTTTGTGAGAACTTTTTCAGAAACATACTTCAGTCCAGAAAAGCAAAAACATAAATCACAGCTTTTTTGGTCGTTAAAACTTTATGTATCGGTTATAAAAATCAGTTTTTAATCATCTACATCTGTTATTCAGAACTTGGGTTTTATAAATAGTACAAAGAAAGATTTTCAGTCCACCAAGAGCCAGAGGTAGTGATCCTTTTATTGTCACAAAAAGTCGTTTTGTATCGTAATTTGTGGAACATCCAGATTCAGGGCTGAATTATTTTACAATAATTTCTACAGCAGATATTCCAAACAATATTTTGGCCTTAATGGTCCTGAATTCCGTATATATTCCATATGTACGTGTCATGGAGCTTAGATCATAAAAAATTCTGATTTTGACCAATTTACACCTCTAGTTTTGAAGTCCTCGGAGCCACAGTTTGGGAAACTGTCCAGTTTTTATGTGCTGTGCATCTTTGGGATTGGATATTTAACAACATTTACACCAGAGCTATTTGACAGCTCCTCAAGCTTGTTTCACCTCTAAAGCCATTAAATTTATAGCTTCATAATATCACCCAGTCATACTGTGTTTATCTAGGCTAGGCTCTGGTATTTCAGCTACTTTGCATTTAAACTTTGCTTTCCGCTAATGTATCGGGCCAGTCATATGTTACCTCTAATCTCTTTATTTCCTACACCTGATGTAGATCATGGTGACCATGAATTTAAAGCTCAGGGAGATAAAAATACCTGTAAGCCTTGTTTTTAAAGAAGTTTAACTAACAGAAAAAGTTATAAAAAAACAAAGTTTTTTTCTAGTCTAAGCAGAGCATTGACTGACCACTGTTGCTAACATCCAGCTGTAATAAAAATTGCTGGCATTATTGGCTTCTTTCCATTACAGGAAGTAGTTAAAGCCTTACACTGACCCCTCTCTGGTTAGAGTTTTGTACCTGGATTAGTGTGTTTGTCTGGCTAATCATCTACAGAATGAGGAAGAGAAAAACTAGCTTCAACCTCAGAATGATCAGAGGCAGTAAAAACACTTTCTAAACTGGACATTTATGGATTTCTTTGTATTTTACTGAAGAAGGTGTTGGTGTTATTTGCAGGGAGGGTTCCTAACATTTATCAGTCTTAAAATGCATCAACTTCAGTCAGAAGCTGACTTTGTTGTTTGATATGCATCATTATTTAGCTGTAGTCGTGTTAAATTACAATTTTCACAAATGCATGTAACAGAAATTGTTACATTTCTATAGTATAGAAATATTTTAAAACATTTGTGGTTTGGTTATTTTGTCGATTTTGTTTATTTCATCGGGACAATACAGAGAAACACTCTATACCCGTTTTATAGTTTGCTTAAATAGATGCGAAAGCTAAACAGCAGAGAACAATTTTTGACACAAAATGTTTTTTTTTGTTTAGTGTTTTCTGTCTCATCCAAACTTTTTTTTTTTTTTTTTTTACATTAGGTTTTGCAGAAGAAAATCAGTTTTGCTTCCTTACATTTTCCCTAAACAACAATCTCTTCCCTCGTTGCTCTAAAATGTTGCAGCAATGAGCAAAAAAAACAGCTTTGGTTTGTACTTTCTCTCTCTCTCCATTATTTTAAGTAACTGTCTGCCAGTTAATTCCACTCAAATGCAAACTGTGTGAACGTGTGCTCATGCATTTCCCAGTCCAAATGCATGAGCTCTACGTGTGTTCCAGTGTTTAAGAGGTAAAGCCACTTCCTCTCTGGGGAAAGAAGAGACCGTATCGGTTTGCTTGGGTGAGACAAAGATGATGAAAGCAAATCAGTTGGCTTAGATGAAACCAGCAGAAAAACTAATGCATATATTTAGTTGCTGCAGCTTTAAATCAAGGCTGTTATTGTTTAGCATACTTCTCAGCTGGAAATCTGTCTATAATTTTCCTAAATGGAAAGTAGGTCTTTGGACGAACTAAAAACTTGTCGTTGTCCAAGTTAGAAGCACAGGCTAGACAAATTAAAGTGACTGAGAACTAAAAGTCACTGTGTCTTCTTTGGCTTCATTTATCTGTCTAACTGTCTGCATCCTTTGAATAAAACTGTCCATCCACTCTGCAGGTTTTTTAGATTGTTTGGTCCTGTAATTATGCCTACATAGAACTGAGAAATTTAATCTTGGGAATCCCTGAGTTTTAATATTATTTTTTGTTGAACCATTGAATGGCTATGATTAAAATGACTGGTAAATTATTTTCTTGAAATGCTTTGGATCATTTTTTTATTCATTAATCATTTGTTGTGTGCCAATGAAAAGCCATTAAGCATGTTCAGAAAATGATGACTATACTGACGGCTTTCATTTTTCCTCTCCTTCTAGTTTGTCCGAGCAAGAACATCCGGAACAACGTGAACAACCTCCGCTCGCTGGAGAACTGCACCATCATCGAGGGCCACCTGAAGATCCTTCTCATGTTCGGGGCCAAGGCAGAGGACTTCAAGGGCCTCAGCTTCCCAAAGTTGCGTGTGGTCACCGACTACGTACTGTTATTTAGGGTCTACGGCCTGGAGACCCTCAGCAACCTCTTCCCAAACCTGACAGTGATCCGCGGCAACAACCTCTTCTTCAACTATGCCCTGGTGATTTATGAGATGCTGCAGCTGAAGGAGGTGGGCTTGCACAGCCTCATGAATATCACACGAGGCGCCGTGAGAATAGAGAAGAATCCGGACCTGTGCTACCTGGCCACTCTGGACTGGTCCATGATCCTGGACTCTGTGGAGGACAACTTCATCGTGGCCAATAAGAACGAGCGAGAGTGCGGAGACGTGTGTCCTGGCATAGCGCAGGGCCAGCCCAAATGCACTCAGACCACCATCAACGGCAACTTCAGGGGGAGATGCTGGTCGCAGAGCCATTGTCAGAAAAGTAAGTGCTAGTTCACATTTTCCCACCTTCATACTCCTTTACTGCATCTTATTAGTCATGAACCAGTCTGATAGCTGGCTGCTTAGGAAAAAAGAACAACATGGAAAATGGGCAGAAACGTCTCCACTGCTGGTACCATGTGATTCAGAGTGCCATACTAAGGAAAAGAATACCTGCTCAGAAATCGACTGATGTTTCATCCTCAGTGATATGTTTAATGACATTTGTAAATGTGGAAGCCAAGAGTTACGGTCGGACCTTGGCCTTGCATTAGCATCCACTGGCAGGATATGTGTGGCTTTAGTTAAGGGACGGCAGGTGGACGGAGTCAAATGAACTGTTGAATTGGGGTGTTATAGCAAGTGGAAGGTTTGAATGAGAGAACAGTTATGGGGATGGCTTTTATTTGTTCTTCTCTGTAAAAACCAGCTCTGTGATTGGTTAGTTGTGGATCTCCTGCACAAGTTTATTTCCCACTGTCTATTTAGGCATTAGTCCTCCACATCGCCGACCCGGGTTTGAATCCGACCTGTGATCATTTGCAGCATCTCTCTCCCCCCTCTCTTACGGGGGAAGTGTTGGCCTAGCGATTAGAGCAGTGCCCTTGTGCTCTGAAAAGGTTGCAAGTACCCAGTTCAATCCCCACATCCTCCACTCTGGGTCCATGAGCAAGACCCCGCACTGCTCCCGGCGCCACACAATGGCAGCCCACTGCTCCCCAAGGGGCTGGGTTAAATGCAGCAATACATTTCTCCAATGTGAGATTGGTAAAGTTAAATTATTATTATTAGCCTTTATTCCTCATACTGTCAGGTGAAAATATATATATATATTATATACATTAGTTTTTTAAGGTAATTACAGCTTGTTTAACTTTTTAAAAAATCTTTTTACTCAGAGAGAAAACTGTTCAAATGGAAACATATTCATATTTCCATGTTTACATTCTGCATTGACTGTTGGCTCCTCGATTTGTCAGCATTTGATGTTGGAAATTTTGCACAGGAAACAGATCCTTTTTTTTCTGTTACTTCTTTGTGAACAAATGCATAAAAGGACAAATCTACGGTGCCTCGTACAAGTATTCACACCCTATGACTGTTCCATATTTTGATACAAATCATTCAATAATGAGAAAACATTTTGATGATATTGTTCTCATATTAGACCAACAAACTTACTGCGAAGAAGGAAAACAACAGTTGAAAAAAACCAACATTGCTTTAACGTGCATTTATATTCAACTTTAAGCTATAACTCACCTAAATTGTAATGAGACTTATCTTGTTTGTAATCAGGTATAAACACAGCTCTTCTGCAGTGGGAAAAGAAAGAGGCCCAGCTAACATAGAAAACAGTATTTTAGTCCTGTCGGTTGACACCAGTATTGAGCTTTTGGCACTACATACCTCGTCCTGTTGACATATGGTAGTGGTGGAATCATGCTGTGGGGACACTTTTCCTCAGCTTGACATGGAAGCTCATTACAGGAGAACAAATCTAAGGTTCCTCGTAAAAGTATTCACACCCTATGACTGTTCCATATTTTGATACAAATCATTCAATAATGAGAAAACATTTTGATGATATTGTTCTCATATTAGAACAACAAACTTACTGCGAAGAAGGAAAACAACAGTTGAAAAAACCCAACATTGCTTTAACGTGCATTGGAAAATGAAAGAAATGTATTGGAGCCTTAAGTGGAAGAAAACCATTTTCAAGCTGCAAGAGGTTTACATTTAGGTGTGAATACTTTTGCAGTGCCCTGCATGGATGCATCCCTATGATATCAAAAATATTTTCAGTAAATAATAACATACCATTTTCCAGTTGAAAGTTCTATAGGTGCAACAAAATCCATAAATGAGCCTCTGATTTGTTCCTGTGAAACGTACCGTTCTGCAACGGCATTTTTCTCTGCATTCATTCATTAAAGATGTTTCTTAAGGGATGAATATTTATTACTTAAAAGGCTTTGCTATTCAGCTCAAGACTCCTCCCTTTTTACCAGGACTCAATCTAACTATATAGTGATAATACTGTTTTTATATTTGGACTTATTCAGAGCTGGAGTGAGGAAGAATGTTGACTGATAAACAGGGGCGGCTGCACGCTGTGCGTCAGAGGCCATATTTACGAGTGTTTTGCCGTCTCCTTTTGCTTCGGATAGGCCCAGTGGAGCAGTTATGACGCCACGCTCTGCGTAATGCCATAGTTACGCTGTTAGGTCAAGAGCCGAGTGCCAGAGCTCAAGCCGTTTCTAGAATGTGACGCAGTGCTGGCTGCACTGCAGCGAGAGGAGTGTGTGAGTTAGTGTTATTTCTGCTGTATGTACGGATATGGGCCTATAGAAGAGAGAGCTGAAGCCCTACATAAAAAACAACACGCATATTTGTTTTACATCGAAAAAAAAGACATTTCACACTGCAAATATCTGCTACCACTAATACATTTTCAGTTTCTCTTCAAGTTAGATTTTTTTTGTTGTTGATGCAGCTCCATCCTCTGGCTTTATGTACCCCTGCACAATCAGTCACAAACTAACATGTGCTCAGATGTGGGTGCCTGGTGTAGAAAGGTTAGAAGCAACATTAAAGTTTATATGTGAGTGGAAACTGTGGTGTTTTTGTGTTTTTACAAGGTTCCACTTAGGTGAAAGCCGGAGGGAGGGGGAGGGCAGGTGCTCCTCTGATCCTACAGTGCTACTTATGTACAGGAAAACCACTATACAAATGTGTGTGAATATGCACATCTGTGTGTGTGGTTGCATGTGTGTGTGTTTACAATAACTCCTCTCCTAGCACTGTTTTGTCATGTTTGTATATCTGTATATACCAGCTTATGTATGCGTTTTATGCTTTGTATCAACAGTTTAGTTCACGTCACCTTTCAGATGTGGTGATCCAATTATAGAGGCGTCTTTTCAAGGAAAGCAGCCATTTTTCCATCTTATTACATATTAAAAAAAAGATTCAAATCTTTCTCGACAGAACCTATTGCTCTAGACCTAAACTGGTTTCTTTAAACTCATTCATGCTGCCTGGTACAGAACTTCCTCATTTTCCTACTCCTGTGATTCCATGGGTTTATCCATTTAAAGACCGCCCTCTCTGTGTTGCTCTCAGAGTCTGAATAATGCTAAATACTTTTGTTAAAGGTAAGGTTGTTTACCACCTGTCTACAGCAACTTTAATCAATGGTTCAGTCCGATAGCCAAGATTTAGATCCAGTTTTGTGTAAGTCATTTAAGTCCTGATTATATTGTAATTGAGCTTGATTTAGTTAATCATGCACATTGATATAAACCATGTGGTGAGAGTGGAGCAGAAAGCATCAATTTGTATCTCTGTCCATTTGTGCTGAAGATTAGGGTAAGGAGTATTTGAACAATAAAACAGAAATGGGAGATAACTTGTGGGAAATTAGTTGAGGAAAATCACAAATGTAGGAGTTCTGAGTTTGTAGGAATGTTTTTTTTTTATGGGAAAAGGGAGTTTTTTTTTTATGGGAAAAGGGAGAAAAACACATGGGGGCACAAAGGTAATAGATCCAATAAAAGCAGGTAAAGTATAAAGAGAGAGTAGAAGAATGCGGAGCCTTTATCTATACCAATCCATATCGGAATATCTGGGCCACATAATTTGCAAACTTTTTTTTTTTTCCAGTTCATTTCGAAACAACTTGCTGATGTAAAAAAAAAAACTGCATGTCTGTAAACCTTACAGATAAATGCATCAATATAATAATCTGCAGATTATTTTTTGTTGTAATTGAGAATGTTAGCACTTGAGAGATAATGTTGTGGTTCAATGTTATGCTTTTATCGTATGCTCAATAAATGTCATTTATTTAAATCTGCATTACTGTGAAATAGACAGCCCATCTTATATTTGTGTCATTTATCTGCTCATTGTGTTTAGTTTTGTAGGTTTTTCATTCCCCTCACCAAATTCAGGATATTGTTATTCGTTTAGGAACTTTTATGTTTCTTAGCCCCTTTTCCTAATAATTATCAAGGCATAAAGAGATCCTAAAACTCTGGTAATGAACTAGTTACCCAAAGAGGTTATTTGTGCACCTTAGATACCGATAAGAAATCTGTCTTTGAATGCAGTTTTTAAAGAAATGAAGGGTGGATTAAAATTTCTCCTTTGAAGAAGTCTTAAAAAATAAAGAACTTACCAGTTTTTAATTTAAGAAAATTTATAAATGAAATAGTGGTAGATTGCAGAAATAGATTACACAAAGACAAAAAGCCTGAATGGGAGCAAACAACGTGCATTTCTGCTGCTTTCAGTCTCATACAGCAGCCAGTACTCTGCTTGCACAACCCATGCACACATAAACATACGCACATAACGTGGAGGACAAAAGCTTTTCAGGCTAAAGTTCACTTTGCCTTTGCCTACGTGCTTTGTTATGCGCTGTAGCTGTTTTCCAGCAAATAGGGTGTTCGCTTCGAACCCCGATGACAGAAGTGTGAGAGGGGAGATAACTAATGAACTGCCCGTACCCTCGCTGAGGCTGACACATTCACTCACGCTACTCCTCTCAGATCACGGTAGACCTAAACAGGACTTCATGCGTCATCAGACAGTACTCTGTGATCCTTTCGACCAGAGGTGAATTTAAGTTGGACAGCAGCCTGCTGTAGTGACCAGGCTTTAGTGGAAGGTCCATGTGATTCTGCCAACATGGGCCTATAATGGGTCACAGAGTCATGACTAAAAGTAGGGACACATTTTGATTTAAGATATTTGGTCATATTTGTAGAGGCTGTAAGAACAGTGTCAGAAACTGATGATCAAAGGAATACCAGTGCTTAAAAAAACCTCACTGTTACAAATAAAATAGGAAATAAGCTAATTATTTGATGCTATTATCCATATGTCTCAACAGCTGTTGTACATTATTACAGAGCAGAGAGAAACCACCAGTGGTATTTATGAGGTCATTTATGAAAAAAAAAATGCAAAAGTTACTTTACAATTACTTAA